TCCCACCCACAGCCTACAAGGAGAAGATGAAGGAGCTGTCCGTACTGTCGCTCATCTGCTCCTGCTTCTACTCACAGCCACACCCCAACACCATCTACCAGTATGGGGGTGAGTGTGCCACTCCCCATCCTGTGGCCTTTTGACCCCCTGGCTTGGCTGGCTTCTCGAGAGGGGTTTTGGGGGAGAGGGGCTGGTTAGGGACTCAGGCCTGCAGGCCCTCCATGAGCAGCCACACCCTCTGGCTCAGGCCTCGAATTGGATGTGTGCTGGGAACCAGCCCCTTCACCCACCCCCTCTTGGCTGACCTTCCTGAAGCCCCAGTCTGATCTTGCCCTGCAGACATGGAGGTGAAGCAGCTGGACAAGAGGGCCTCTGGCCAGAGCTTTGAGGTCATCCTCAAGTCCCCTTCTGACTTGTCACCGGAGAGCCCTGTGCTCTCCTCCCCCCCCAAGAGGAAGGACACCTCGCTGGAGGAGCTGCAGAAGCGGCTGGAGGCAGCTGAGGAGCGGAGGAAGGTAAGGACCCCACATCTGGTCTGATGAAGGTAGCCAGGAGTTCTTGCTGGCCATGGACATGGTCCCCAAGGTGCAGGGTGCTCCAAACCGCTGCTTGGTGGTTGGCCTGGGGTGGAGAGCCCCATGGTTTCCTGGACCTCCTCCTGAGAGGTCAGCATGGGATGGGGGAGGAAGGATCCCCAACGGCAGTCAGCTGGAGGGAGAAAGTAACCAGACACTGTTGCAGGGCCTTGGCCATGGCCAGGAGGGTCTGGTGGTGGCTCTGGGATGTGAGGCTGGACTGGCACTCTTCTCCTGGGCAAGGGAGTGGGAAGGAAGGGCCTCCATGTGCTGGGGGCTGCACAACTAGACCTGTTGGGGGTTCAAGGGTTCTGGGAGAAGTGGTGAGTGAGCCTAGGCCCCTCCCTGCCCCTTCACCTCACACCAGCCCTTCTGAGGCTGAAACACACAGAAGAGGAATTGCTCTCAGGAGTGTGTCCTGGTACCCAAGCTCACAGGACAGCGGCAATGGCTCCATCTCCCTCACAACAGGTCCCGTGAGACCTGAGATACCCAGAGTGACTGGCCTGTGGGAGGCTGAGGGCTCTAATTACCCCTGGGAGCTCAGGCTGTCCTTGGGGGCCACCGGGCAGCCCCTCCCGCAGCAGGGCCCAACACTGACACCAGCAGCCCAGGCTCCTCTCTCCAACTTAGCCTCTCCCCACACCCCTGGGAGCCGGCCACACTCCTAGCACCTTAGGAAGCTCAGCACCTGGCCTGTACCAAAGGCTACTTTGTGCTCAGTGGGCAGAGGTTTGAGGAAGAGACAGGAAGGCTCAGTGATGGCCCACAAGTTTAGATTCCCTTTGCTCCTCAGCACTCTCCCAGCGCACCGCGGGCTTGGGCTTGGAGCGAGAAGAACGGAGGCTGCCTTGCCTAGGACGCCCTCGGCCTAGCAGGCTAGCAGGGAGGGGCCCGCTCTGTGGCCAGGGGCCAGGGACAGAACAACGAGGTGTCTTGGGGCCTCGGAGCTTTCAGCGCTCAGGTCCCCGGAAGGCAGGCAAACCAGGAAGGAGGTCACCCTCCTCGAATCAGGGCCGTGTAGGCGTGAGCTCCGCGAAGATGTGTGTCTTGAGGGTAGCAGGGCAGGGTGACGGGAGGGGCTGACTGGCCCTGGCGGGTCAGATGGCAGCTTCGGGGGCCAGGATGGGGGCGGGGGTCTGGGCTGCGGGCGGAGCCGGGGCGCGCTCCACGCCCTCCAACGCGCCGCACAGACGCAGGAGGCGCAGGTGCTGAAGCAGCTGGCGGAGCGGCGCGAGCATGAGCGGGAGGTGCTGCACAAGGCGCTGGAGGAGAACAACAACTTCAGCCGCCTGGCGGAGGAGAAGCTCAACTACAAGATGGAGCTCAGCAAGGAGATCCGCGAGGCGCACCTGGCGGCGCTGCGCGAGCGGCTGCGCGAGAAGGTGCGCGCCCAGGCGGGGCGGGACCCCAGGCAGAGAGTGGGGGCCGCGGGATGGGTTCACCTGGCATTTGGGGGGACCTCCAGCAGTGGGCGAATGGAGAGCCATCATCTGGTCCTGCTGGGACACAGTCGATAGCGCAGTAATGAACGGACAGGCGTCACCTTTGAAGTGCTCTGAAGCAGCGCATCCGAATGTGAGCTAGGAGACGGGCGGAGCTGCTTTGGGTTGGGGGCCAGGGAAGTCCCGAAGGAGCCCCATCCTTTGGCGGGTTCCTGCCCAATGCACCACCAGCGCCTCCACCGCCGGTCCGTGCTTGGGGCCAGCCCAGGATGAGGCGAGGCCCTGACGCTGCGGAGGGTGGGGTGGGGTGCGGGAGCAGGACCCCAGCTCAACGCCGCCCCCCCCCCCCCCCCCCGCCTCGTCCCCCGCAGGAGCTGCATGCCGCGGAGGTGCGCAGGAACAAGGAGCAGCGAGAGGAGATGTCCGGCTAAGGGGCTTTGGACACCACAGCGCCTGGATCCTGAGCCGAGACAAGAACACATTCGGGTTTTGTTTTTGTTTTGTTCAGCTCTGTCTAGATGAACATTTTGTTCCCGCTCCTCCCCTCTCCTCCCACTCCCAGCTTTATGCTTCTCTTTCCGCACTCTGAGCTGTCCAGTCCCGGGGCAGCCGCTGACCACAGGCTCTCCTTGGAGGAGTCACGGGCCGGGTGGGACTGGGGCACAAGGTCCCTCAGTTCAGGCACCAGGCCGGGTCCCCTCTTGGCCGTCCTCTTAGTGGATGTGATGGTGACCAGCAGTGGTGGCAGGAACATGTAGGGCTTCATGCTGGGCAGTCCCACCCCTCCGCTGGGCACTGGCGGCAGGGTCCCTGCTGACCATCCTCTTGGTGGAGAGCAGGAGGGGACAGACTACAAGTCCTTGCAGGACTCAGAGCCAGTGCCTCAGATACCAGGTGGTTGCAGCCCCCAGCGCCCAGCTTCCTTCCTGCAGAAATGAATGGGGGCCCAGCCAGGGAGCAGGGTGGAAGCTGATCCTCGGGGCTTAGGGGGAGGTAGGGACCCAGGCCTCCTCGTCCCCATCGAGATAGCCTCCCAGGAGGGACAAGCGAGGAGTGAGCCCAGCAATGTCCGCCTGCAGCTTTGGGGGGACCCAGAGGGATGTGGAAAGGGAGCTGAAGGCCGAGTTTCTTTTAGCTGCGGCAGCTCATCGCGGAAGCCTAGTGTAAATGCACCCATCTCATCCTGTAGTGAAAGTGAACTTAAAACTAAATCAAATGAGCAATTAAAGAAAAAACAAACTTGTGTGTCTAAGAAACAGTTGCACCGTCCCAGTGTCCTGCGTCTGTGGGTGGGGAATAGGCTTCGAGCTACAGCCTGTGTATGAAGGAGCTGCAACTCCCATGGAAGCCTGTGATCAAGCTTGTTTTACCACCACAATTAGGAGTAGTTCTAGTGACAATGGCAATGTTAAGAAATGAGTGTGTGAATGACACACTTCCCAGGAATGACAGCGTTTCCCTTTCAGAGCCAGGAGCAAGGGGGTGGGGCCCCGGTGGCTGCTGGCCACGTCGGCACTCTGCCTGCATCTCCACGAGTGTCACCTCAGTGGCTGCACAATCACCTATTTATGGATGTACTAGGACTTTTGAGAAAACTTCTCCAACTTTTTTTTTTTAATATTTTTATTGATTTTTTACAGAGAGGAAGGGAGAGGGATAGAGAGTTAGAAACATCGATGAGAGAGAAACATCGACCAGCTGCCTCCTGCACACCTCCCACTGGGGATGTGCCTGCAACCAAGGTATATGCCAGGGGTGGGCAAACTTTTTGACTCGAGGGCCACAATGGGTTCTTAAACTGGACCGGAGGGCCGGAACAAAAGCATGGATGGAGTGTTTGTGTGAACTAATATAAATTCAAAGTAAACATCATGACATAAAAGGGTACGGTCTTTTTTTTTTTTTTTTTTTTAGTTTTATTCATTTCAAATGGGCCGGATTCGGCCTGTGGGCCGTAGTTTGCCCACGGCTGGTATATGCCCTTGACCAGAATCAAACCTGGGACCCTTCAGTCCGCAGGCCAACGCTCTATCCACTGAGCCAAACCGGTTTTTGGCAACTTCTCCAACTTTTAGGTTTCAGGGACCCTTTACAATCTTTTTTTTTTTTAAATATATTTTATTGATTTTTTACAGAGAGGAAGGGAGAGAGACAGAGAGCCAGAAACATCGATGAGAGAGAAACATCGATCAGCTGCCTCCTGCACATCCCCCACTGGGGATGTGCCCGCAACCCAGGCACACGCCCCTGACCGGAATCGAACCCGGGACCCTTCAGTCCACAGGCCGACGCTCTATCCACTGAGCCAAACCGGTTTTGGCACAATCTTAAAAATTCATGGAGAACCTCCAAAGAGCTTTGTTGATGTGGGTTATACGAATCAACAGCTGTCACATTAGGAATTAGAACTCAAATTAAAAATATTAACTCATTTAGAAATGACCCACCCAGGGACTCTTTCCCTCTCCCCACGTGGGAGTCTGTACTTGTTCAATAAATTACCTTTGCTGTACCAAAAAAAAAAGATATACCATTACTTTTAGCATAACACTTTATATATATATGCCCTAACCGGTTTGGCTCAGTGGATAGAGCATTGGCCTGCGGACTGAAAGGTCCCAGGTTCGATTCCGGCCAAGGGCATGTACCCTGGTTGCAGGCACATCCCCAGTAGGAGGTGTGCAGGAGGCAGCTGATCGATGTTTCTCTCTCATCGATGTTTCTAACTCTCTCTCTCCCTTCCTCTCTGTAAAAAAATCAATAAAATATATTTAAAAAAACAAAAAACACTTTATACACACACACACACACACACATATATATATATATATATATATATTTTTTTTTTTTTACTGATTTTTTACAGAGAGGAAGGGAGAGGGATAGAGAGCCAGAAACATCGATGAGAGAGAAACATCGATCAACTGCCTCCTGCACACCCCCTACTGGGGATGTGCCTGCAACCAAAGTACATGCCCTTGACCGGAATCGAACCTGGGACCCTTGAGTCTGCAGGCCGACGCTCTATCCGCTGAGCCAAACCGGCTAGGGCTAGAATAACACTTTAAAATTAAAAACAATTAAAAAAGTACCTGGAACGGTTGAAGTATATGAAAAAACCTGGCTTCATGGAGATCAATGGCTGTTGGAAAAGGAATGGGGATGTTAATACTCATTCCTTAATACCAAACTGAAGCTTGATGAGGGGTAGTTTCTTAAAAGTTGGCTGCAATGTGAACTCAAAACCAACCTGAGCTTTCCTTGCTCTTACATCAGCCGCCTAGTCTGTCACGTCCTTGACTCAGTCTTTACCCATGGGTGGGACTCTGGGGCCAGAGCGGAGCTCAGGGCCTGTATGGCTGCGGAGGGAGGGGACAGGATTGGGTGAGCTGGGCCTGCCTTGTCCTGCTTCGTCTGGTCTGGAGCCTGAGTAGAGGGTGGGCAAGGCAAGCCCATGGCATCCTGGGGCCTGGTGATGACCTCCTGGTCTGCCTCTCCAGGGTCCAGGTGTTCTCAGGAGAGGGTCTAAAGGCAGTGACCTGCATGACACTGAGTTTTCCTCTCACCTGCAAAAAACCCAGAGTGAAAGCTCCCTCCCCGTGGGACCCAGGATGGGCTTCTCCCATGAGTGCTCCTGAAGAGAAATCAACACCCCCATGGCCCAGGATGAACTAATCCATCCTGCCAGCCAAGCAGAGCCCAGTGCTGTAGTCTAGCTCTTTTGGAGACAGAAGAGGTAAGGTCAGGGTCAGATGCTAGGCCTGAGTTCATGCTGCAGTGGAAACATGGAGGCCGGGAGTCTGAAGCTCGCCCGTCACTGAGAGCAGGAGGTGCCTGGTGCAAGCATGATGTCGCTGGCAGCGCTCTCCTGGTGGCACGCTCGCCTGATTCCTGACACCAGTGCCCTTCTGGGCCTTCTTTGTTGATTTTATTGGCATTTGTGTCCAGAATGTGAAGATGGGAACTCAAATAATGGACCTAGACCAGCCGTGGGCAAACTACGGCCCGTGGGCCGGATCCGGCCCATTTGAAATGAATAAAACTAAAAAAAAAAAAAAAAAAAAAGACCGTACCCTTTTATGTCATGATGTTTACTTTGAATTTATATTAGTTCACACAAACACTCCATCCATGCTTTTGTTCCGGCCCTCCGGTCCAGTTTAAGAACCCATTGTGGCCCTCGAGTCAAAAAGTTTGCCCACCCCTGACCTAGACTGTGCACATCTGCTCAGATAACAGGCTCAATAGATTAATCTTTAAAAAGACTTTTTCCATCAGTGGCTTGAGTACACTCTACATTATTGAAAACATGAAAGTGCAACTCTCCTAATGATAACATCACTGAAATGAAGTTTGCTTGAAAACCTCCCATTCTGGGAAATGGCCTTCAGTTGTCTTCCTGCTGAAGAATAAACATGGGTTTACAACTTGGTCCTAAACAAGACATCAGTTTCCTGCCCATTTCCGGAGGCAATTTTTTAGAAACTGCTAGCACGAAAAGCAGTGACACTGAACAGCTCAGGTGTGCCTGCCCTGCTCGGAGAACAGCCAGCCTCGGCCACCGCTGGGCGCTACCCTGACAGCTGGAGCAGGGAGACTAAGGAATGTGCAGGGCACCGGAAGTCCTCAGGCCAAGGGCAGGTAGCTTCATAACTGCCCGGGCTCGGGGGAGGGCAGGTGAATCCCACTAGCCGCCACCCTGGGGCCCCACTGCACCCTTCACACAGCAAGGCCGATTGCACCTGCTCACAAGTCGGAGGAACACCACAAAACCCGAGTGACGCCTACCTCCTTCTCTTCCGGACCCCCAGAGGACGATGGAATTCTCAGAGCACCCCTGACCCTACATCTGGGGGTCTTTACGGCTCAGCTATAACTGAGGAACTGCATTGTAATTTATTTAAAAAATATGTTATTAAATTTTAAACAATAAATAAAAAATAAAAATGTTATTAATTTTAGAGAAAGGGCGAGGGGGAGAGAGAAACATGGATGAGAGAGAAAAATTGATTGGCTGCCTCTTGCACACCCTCCACTGGGAATGGAGCCTGCAGCCTGGGTCTGTGCCGCCTAGAAATGGAGCCGAGACCAACTGGTGCATGGGAGCGGCCGGGCTGAATTCTAATAAAACAAATGAGCTCATGTTGCCAGGGGCCAACACTCACAAGAACACGGTGTGGCACCGTCCTGCCGCCATCACGGCGCTTTCTACGGCTGCCTTCAGCAGGACCGCGGCGGGAGGAGGAGCCAGGCTGACGTTTGGGAGCAGGCCCTCCCGGGACTCGCCGAGGACCCGTCCGCGCGCCAGGTTTTCGCGGCTCACTGCCCCCGCACCGGCCCTCGGCTCTGCTACAAGGCTCCCTGCCAATTCTTCCTCGGCTCGTGCCCACGAAGGTGGTTTACGGGGCAGGTGTGCGGGCGGGCAGGGGCGGGGCCGCGGGGCGAGCCGGCCAGCGGTGTCACCGCGCACGCGCGTCGGCCCCCGCCGGGCCTTATTTCTGGGCCTCGCCCGGCTCCGCACCGAACGCCAAATAAATCTCCGGCCCGCCCTGGCCCGGACGTGCGCGGCCCCGCCGCCTGCGTCACTAGAAAGCGCGCTCCCGGGCTGCCGCCGCCGCCGCCGCCGCCGCCGCCGAATCCCCAACAAGGAGCGGAGCCCGCGGCCGCCCCCACTGCCCCCGCCGCCATCACCGCCGTCTGCCCGCCCGGCAGCGCCCGCAGAGGCCCGGCCGCGGCCCAGGTAAGCGCCCCCCGCCCCCCGCGGCGAGGCCTCTCGCTCTGCCGCGCGCCGCCGTCCAGTCAGGGGTCCCTGCGGAGCGTCAGGACGTTACGGCGGGGGGAGGGGAGCGGGGGAGGGGCGGTGGCGCGCGGCGGGCGTCACGGGCGTCACGGGCGTCACGGGCCCGCGTCAGGCGGCGTCGGCGGCGGTGGCGTCGACCTCCATCTTGCGGGAAGGCGGGCGGCGGGCGGCGGGCGGCGGGCGGCGGGCGGCGGGCGGCGGGCGGCGGGCGCCCGGACCCCGGACCCCGGACCCGCGTGTGCTAGCCATGTCCACGCGGGCCCCTTCCCCCGGGTGGGAGCCGTATCCACGCGGGCCCCCCGGTGGCAGATGCGTCCCCCTCGGTAGGAACCGTGTCTCCATGCGGGCCGGGGGGGAGCCGAATACCCACGTCCCCCGGGAACCCTGCCTGTGCGGCCGGGGGGAGCCGAGTCCCCGGCGCCCACTCCGGTAATGACCTGCCGGCACCCGGTTAACTTGTACTCCGTTTAGGTGGTTGACATGCCCCTTGAACCAGGTCTGCTTCTTTGCTGACACCTCAAGTACAAGTTTGGATTCCATCAGCCTTTTTCTCTTTTTTTGGACATGTGAAAAGCTGTACATAATGGTTGTGTACAACTTGCGTTTGGAGATAAGTATACACCTGGAACCAATCGTGTCCACCACCTCCAGGAGTTTCCTCCCACCCTCTTATTTGTGATAAAAACACTTGACCCAAGTTCTGCCCTCTTAGCGAGCTGTCAGGCCTCCAGGACGGACTCACAGCCGGGCTGGGGCTGAGCACACCCCCTGGGCATCCACTCAAGCCCCGCATGTGTCCGCTGTCTGGCTAATGTCCTCCAGGTCATCCAGGCGGTGGCCGCGTTTCCTCTTTTAAGGCTGACATTTCATTGTATGGAGGGACCACATTTCTTTTTTATTGATTTTTCACAAAGAGGAAGGGAGAGAGATAGAGAGTTAGAAACATCGACGAGAGAGAAACATTGACCAGCTGCCTCCTGCACACGCCCCACTGGGGATGTGCCCGCAACCCAGGTACATGCCCTTGACCGGAATCGAACCCGGGACCCCTCAGTCCGCAGGCTGACGCTCTATCCACTGAGCCAAACTGGTTTTGGCAAGGGGGACCACATTTTTATCCACTCACCCATTGAATGACATTTAGGTCGCTTCCATAGTTGGCTACTCTGAATAAATCTGCAGTGAGCGTGGGGTGCAGGTATCGCAGTGATGCAGGTATCTTGGAGGTCTGATTTCATTTCCTTCAGAAGAATATCGAGAAGTGGGATGGCTGGATATGTGGTTGTACCAGATTACTTCCCATCGACACTGCACAAAACGATGTCAGTCTTATTAAGGGTAAATTCGAATGATTAAGTAAATGCCAAAAACAACAAATTAAGCAGACTGTCCAGAAATTATTTCTTCATGAGAAGTGTCTTAAAAATTGTAAGGAGATACACTGGGCGGGAGAGGAATTTGCTATCTATGTACAAACATGCAATGGTTTCTGTGAATTTAGAATACTTATAAAACTATATTCAAACCTAGGCCTTAAAATAATAAGCCATTTCTTGTCTGAACTGGGAAGGATGGCTGCTCAAATGTTTTTTCAGAGCCACAAATTCTTGCGAATTGGGGGCTGCACATGTTGGCACATAGCTCAGCTTGGCTGGGTGGGACCCTGGCTGGGTGTGGCGAGAGTATGGTTGAGACCAGAGCTGGTGCATCTGTGCCCACCCCAGCTGGACTAGAAGCCCAGATTCTCTGGGAAAGGCAGGACTAGAAGGACCACCTCCAGGGACTCCAACATTTTCCAAGAGAAGCTGGAAATCTAAAATTTTAAATATATTTCTTTATTGATTTCAGAGAAGAAGGGAGAGGGAGAGAGAGATGGAAACATCAATGATAAGAGAGAATCATTGATTGGCTGCTTCCTACACATCCCCGACCGCTACTGGGGATCGAGCCTGCAACCCGGGCATGTGCCCTTGGCTGGAATCGAACCTGGGACCCTTCAGTTCACAGCCCGATGTTCTATCCACTGAGCCAAACCAGCTGGGGCAATCTAAAATTTTAAAATGTGAACTTTGTAAACTTTGAAAAAGTTGGCAACTAATTAAACATTTGGAACACTGAGAGGATAAAAAATCATGCTTGTTCCTGGTGCATGACCTCTGCCGTCTCTCTAGTGGTGTTTTCATGAAAGTGTCTACATAAGCACTGCCAGACCTACAGAGGATTTTTATAATAATTTGTCGGAATCAAATAGAGGAAATGCGTGGAAGCAAGATCTCGACAGACAGAAAAATGCTTCTCAGGACTACAGACTGCAGCTTCTTTTATGCATTTGGAATTAAGGAGGGAATGGAAGGAAGGGAGAAAGCCCGGCCTGGATCGGATTACAGGATAGTCAAGGTTATGTGCTCAAGCTTTAAAGGGAGGGTCTGCAAGGGGGCAGTTCAAAGGTGTGAGAACCTAGATGCACAGAAACAATGGACAGGGCCGACTTGAGGCAAAGACTTTTTACGGAAGGAGTCATAGGCTTGGGGCGGGGCCAGTTAGGGTTTGAGGTGAGATTGCTTCCTGTAGACCCCCATTCTCAAAAGTTTGTAATTTTGTAGAAGACATGGAAAGCTAGATCTTAATCTTAGGAACTAACATTTTTGTCTTATTTTTATACTAGAGGCCTGGATTCTTGCACTGCTGGGGTCCCTTGCCTGGCCTGTGCCCTCTCGCAATCCAGGGCCTCTTGGGGGATGTAGTAGTGTGCCAGGTGACAGGCAGCTGGGGAGGAGCCTGAGCCCGGGCCATGTGCCGCGCCACTCCCGCTCATCCTGGCTCTGCTGCTCCTGCCATCTCTGCTGCTGCCACTGCCCCTGGTAGCACTGCCGGGAGCTCTGAGCCCGGCTTCTGGTGCCCATCGGTCAGCTGAGTGGCGCTCCGACTGTGGGATCGCACTGACCACCAGGGGGCAGCTCCTGCGTTGAGCGTCTGCTCCCTGGTGGACAGTGCGCATCATACTGACTGGTCGACCAGTTGTTCAGTCGTTCAGCCCTTTAGGCTTTTATATATAGAGAGATATTTAGGCCCAAGAATGCTATTTAAAAAATACTTTTTTATATCTTACCTCTAAATTAGTTGGTGCTCAGTTTTCACTAGTAATGAACCCAAGCTTGGTGCCAAGAACTGGGCGTGGGCGTGGCTCCTCCAGGGACTGGGAAGAGGAAGATGGTGTCTAAACTCCAGCAGTTCTCTGTGAAGTAACGTTCGTTGCCAGTGGAGGCAGGGATTCAGTTCTGTGTGCTCACATCACTTAGTGCTCTGTTTTTGAAATTTGGGTGAGGACAGCTGTTGATGGGCGTGTAGGCTGGTCCCTTGCCTGTGTCTGTTGTGAGTCCTGTTGTCACAAGCTGGATGTGTGGTTCTGTGTGAGTCCAAGCTCACAGTTATTTTGGCCGTTGTGTCTGGAGGTGGGGTTGCTGGTCTTGTGGGAGGAGGAGCACACCTATTTTATAGGAAACTTCCAGACTCTTTTGCAGGTGGTTGTGTGGGTTCCCCTCCGTTTCCCCAGCCTAGAGACAGGACCCGTTTGCAACTGCTTTCTAGGCAGAGCTCTGGGATGTGGCCGGGACATGGCGCGTCAGGGAACAACCAGAGACTCACCTGCTGGGAGTCCGCAGGGATCCGGGCCTCCTTCCCCACACCTGCTGTGACTCTGTGTCCTCAGGCCCAGGTGCCTGCCTGTTCAATCGCTCTGCTCACGGACCTCAGCCCTCACAGCGGCCAGGACAGGCAGTTGCGCCAGTCCATCCTCACCAGTAGCAGCCCGGGACAGCCCTTTTCCTGTTGTCATTTCTGTCAGAAAGTGTGTGCTGGGACTGAGAGCGACTCGTCAGCAACAGTGAGCTGTATTGTACAGACATGCGGACCTTCGTGACCCTGTGCCCTGCCTGTTGTTTCCTCTAGGACTTGGGGTCCTGGCAGAGTGACGTCTTGGTCCTGGGTGTCCTCTTCAGCTGAGCATGGCGACCCCAGATGTCAGTGTGCACATGGAGGAGGTGGTGGTGGTGACGACACCCGACACCGCGGTGGATGGCAGTGGCATGGAGGAGGTCAAGACAGTCCTAGTGACAACCAACCTGGCTGCCCACGGGTAAGGACAGGTCTGTGCCCTGCGGGGGCGGTGGAATGGCGGTGGGATGGCGGCATCTGGCACAGTGTGAGGCCTTTGGAGTTTCCCTTCATCATAGCCATTCTGAACCAGACTTGAGTCCATGTCAGTGCAGAGTATGCAGGACAATGATAATGCTTCGTCCTTGCCCTGGACTCCTGCGTCACACAGGCGTAGGGCTCATTTCTGAAAACACCTGAAGTTTTCTTGATAAGATAGGCAGTAGGGACAGTTGGGAACTGTTATTTCAAAATGAAGAGCCAGTGGTTTCCTGATATTCCTCATGGTAACAGTGTTTTCTTCCCCGTCTCACAATAGGCGTCCACATAGAATACTAGTTGGCAAAGAAGCTGGCGTGTGAGCCGACTGCTGGCTTCCTTTCGCCGAGCCCTACCTGTCACCTTCAAGGGGTTGGAGTAGACCGGCTCCCTGTGGGTCATCTTTGCTGTGTCCTGAGTGTGTCCCGTTCAGACTGACCTGAGCATGTCCCTGACCTCTGGCCTGTCCCCTGTCTAACAGGATGCTTGGGGAAAGGTTCTAGACCAGGGCCCAACCCAGGCGCAGTTCCTGTAGGGCACACAGGACACTGGGTGTCGCCGCTTCGCACAGTCTGTGTGCAGCTGCTGCGTGGGGTGCCGGCCGCCCTCCCACTGTGCGCACACTTCTTTCGGGCGGGGCTCATTCTCCATCCCTGCGCACACGGTGAGGCGGCCGGCTCTTTGCTGGGTTCTAGCTGCACTGATGGCGCGTGTGACAGCCTGTGCATTTTCCCACCTGAATTCGCTGGTAGCTTGGCAGGGCGCCTCTGTGGGCGGGCTTCCCCGCGCCCTTGCTCTGCAGTGGCCTCCCATGCCCTGCGCAGAGGTGGCACCGAAGCCCCTTCCTGTGGATTGGAGGTGGCTCTTGATGAACACGGTGGGCAGAAGTGACACTTGGTGGGAAAGACCACGCTGCCTCCTCCTGGTGTGCTGGGCGCTGTGAGGAGCCCTTG